ATGGTATACCCCATCACTCCGTCTTTCTGGAGTCCTTTCTGTCTCCACTGTAAATACTTCTTTAAATTGCTTAGCTCTTTACATATTTCTCGGTCGTTTCTTGTGATCTCCCCTCCCTCCTCCTTTAGCCTGTGTGTGTGTGTGTGTGTGTGTGTGTGTGTGTGTGTGGTGTGTGTGTGTGTGTGTGTGTGTGTGTGTGTGTGTGTGTGTGTGTGTGTGTGTGTGTGTGTGTGTGTGTGTGTGTGTGTGTGTGTGTGTGTGTGCGCGCGCGCGCGCGCAAACATTATTTCACAGTCCACAACAGGATTCGAACCTGCAAACTCGGCATCAGAGTACGCATTACTTTATTTACAACGCCAGATTCCAGAGTTTGGCGCTGAGGATAAAGTATTCTGTACTCTGATGCCGAGTGTGCAGGTTCGAATCCTGCTGCGGACCGAGAGATAATGTTTGTAAATATTTTCACCTGTTTCCAAATTACGCATATATAACTCAAGAAATCGTAATGACACGATTGCAAACAAACCATACCCCCGGCCGGGATTGAACCCGCGGTCATAGAGTCTCAAAACTCCAGCCCGTCGCGTTAGCCACTAGTGGCTAACGCGACGGGCTGGAGTTTTGAGACTATGAACGCGGGTTCAATCCCGGCCGGGGGTATGGTTTTTTACGCATATATATATTATATTATATATATATATATATATATATATATATATATATATAATATATTATATATATTCATAGTGCCGAATAGGCAAAACTGGCGATTCTGACTTAAATAGCAACGCTCTTCTTGCCGACTAAAGCAAGCGAAAATTTGTGTATGAAGTAATTTCGCAAAAATCATTCTGAACATAACGAAAAAAACATTTCATTGTGTTTGTTTATCAAATTATTGTTAACGTATCTGAAATATATTTAGCTAGATTAGGTTAAATTAAATTGCACTCATTATAATAAGGTTAGGTACGTTTTCTAAGGTTCTTTTGGTACAAAATTATTAATTTTTACATTAACATAAAAGAAAAAATATATCTTTGCACGTATAAGAGAAAATTTTAGGACTTAATTTTAAATGAGTTCTTGCTAACTGACCAGTTTTACCTATTCGGCACGACATGTATACATGTATGTATAACAAACGCTTAGGAGTGATCCAGCACCTGAAGAACTAGTGGTAATCAGAATCACACTAATAACCCCATCATTCAAGCTCACAAGAAACAAGCCACAAGATAATAAAAAATATATATAAAAATAAATTACATTCTGTTTCCCCGGTGGTCAGGGAGCAACACACTCGTCTGTTCCGTCACCACCGCGGCGACGGCGGCGGTGGCGGTGGTGGTGGTGGCGGTGGTGGTGGTGTGGTGGTGGTTGTGGTGGTGGTGGTGGTGGTGGTGGTGGTGGTGATGGTGGTGGTGGTGGTGGTGGTGGTGGTTGGTGGTGATGGTGGTGATGGTGGTGATGGTGGTGGTGCGTGTGGTGGGGTGGTGGTGGTGATGGTGGTGGTGGTGTGATGGTGGTGTGGTGGTGTGGTGGTGAGTGGTGGTGATGGTGGTGGTGGTGGTGGTGTGTGGTGTGGTGGTGATGTGAGTTGGTGGTGGTGGTGGTGTGGTGGTGATGGTGGTGGTTGGATGGTGGTTGGGTGTGGTGTGTGGTGGTGTGGTGGTGGTGTCGGTGAGTGGTGTGGTGGGTGTGGTGTGGGGTGATGGTGGTGTGGTGTGGTGGTGGTGGTGGTGTGATGGTGGTGTGGTGGTGGTGTGCGGTGATGGTGTGGTGGGGGGTGGTGGTGGTGATGGGGTGTGGGTGGTGGTGGTGGTGATGGTGTGGTGGTGATGGTGTGTGGTGGTGTGGTGGTGGTGTGTGATGGTGGTGGTGGTGGTGGTGGTGTGGTGGTGGGTGGGGTGATGGTGGTGGTGGTGGTGGTGGTGATGGTGATGGTGGGTGTGGTGGTGGTGTGGTGGTGGTGGTGATGTGGTTGAGTGGTGGTGTGGTGGTGGTGGTGGTGGTGGTGGATGGTTGATGGTGGGGTGATGGTGGGTGGTGGGGTGTGTGGTGTGATGGTGGTGGTGATGGTGTGTGGGGTGTGTGGTGGTGGTGGTGGTGATGGTGATGGTGATGGTGGTGGTGATGGTGGTGGTGGTGTGGTGGTGGTGTGGTGGTGGTGGTGTGGTGGTGGTGATTGGTGGGTGGTGTGTGGTGGTGGTGTGGTGGTGATGGTGGTGTGTGGTGGTGGTTGGTGGTGGTGGTGATGGTGGTGGTGTGGTGATGGTGGTGGTGGTGGTGGTGGTGGTGGTGGTGATGGTGGTGGTGGTGGTGATGGTGGTGGTGGTGATGGTGGTGGTGAGTGGTGGTGGTGGTGGTGGTGGTGGTGGTGATGGTGGTGGGGGTGGGTGTGGTGATGGTGGTGGTGGTGGTGGTGGTGGTGTGATGGTGGTGGTGGTGGGTGAGGTGGTGGTGGTGGTGGTGGATGGTGGTGGTGGGTGGTTGGTGGTGGTGGTGGTGATGGTGGTGGTGGTGGTGTGGTGGTGGTGGTGGTGATGGTGGTGGGTGGTGGTGGTGTGGTGGTGGTGGTGGTGGTGGTGATGGTGGTGGTGGTGATGGTGTGGTGGTGGTGGTGGTGGTGGTGGTGGTGGTGTGGTGGTGGTGATGGTGGTGGTGGTGGTGTGTGGTGGTGGTGTGGTGTGTGATGGTGGTGGTGTGGTGGTTGTGGTGGTGGTGGGGTGATGATGTGGTGGTGTGTGGTGGTGGTGGGGTGATGATGGTGGTGGTGGTGGTGATGGTTGGTGGTGGTGGTGGTGGTGGTGGTGGTGGTGGTTGGTGGTGGTGGGTGGTGGCGGCTGATGGTGATGGTGGTGGCGGTGATGGTGGTGGTGGTGGTGGTGGCCGTAATGCCAGTGCATGATTTTTTTTTTTTTAATATTCAGCAGATTAGAGGACGAGGCCAGTGTTTATGACTTGCGCAACTCATTTCGGATCAGAACGAGAAAATGTGCAAATATGCAGGCTGTCTTTCTTGTGTTGTCTGGAATCTAGATAATAACATCATCAGCCTTCACGGAGCCTGGTCTAAGACCGGGCCCCGGGAAACACGATTCACAAAACTGCTAACAGTTAACAACATCAACTTACTCAACAACAGCATCGACCTACAACTC